AGTCTGCTTTCTGCTGGGGAGAAGGCGTCTGGATGGCCACGGGGTACCGTATACAATAGTAATATTGACTGTGACACCCTTAAAGTGGGAAAAGCCCTTCAATATGTAAGTGTTTGTAAGCAGAAACGGCTGCTACTGAGTTTTCCATTTTGTTCCAGATCCGCCTCCACAGATACCAAAAGAAACCTGAAGAACCTACAAAAAAGAGTTAAAGACAAAATTCAAGAAAACATACACATACATAATTTTGGTGAGTGGGCATCATTTAAAAAATTTTCCACTACATTTCCATCTGTCCTGCAACTCAAGGTATCCATCTCAAAATTCATACATCAAGACATAGAACAAAGGGCAGCTTTGAAGTGGGTCACTTCAGTAGGAACTGCCGCCCGTTACATGAAAACTGATTATTGGCCTTCAAATTTATGGCGCTTTAATGGGGCGAGCCCAGTGCCTTAAATACAGGGTGCATTAGAGTATTAAGTTATCTGGGCTAAATAAGAGTGATTTAGAAGGCGCATCCAGGGCTTCTTATAGAGCAAAAGAGGCTCAAACTTAGAGATCAGGAGAACTTGGGCAGAACATAAAGTCCCCTTTCAATCAAACCCGAAAACCAGCGGTTTCGAATCCCGAAGTAGCAAAGCCAACAGGAAGGGGAGAATCGTTTCTCGGTTCCAGTGAATGCATGGGGATGCTCAGCAAAAGTCTTGGCCGCCAGAAAGATCCGTGGGCTTCTGACCCTGGTTTAGGCAAAACAGGGAGAAGCGCTGAGACCTGCTTGAGCCTTAGCGGATTTTGAGAGAAACTGATCGCAACCTCCATCGCCTTCCCCCTCTCTTTTAACTTGCATGGGCTGACTCTACCCGTCGGTGATTTAAGATGGTCGCAGCCATAGCTTGGCGCCTGGCTCCCCCTTCCTTCCCAAGCACCCTCAGCCTTTCCACCGCCACGGGCACAGGAGCGAGCGCCGAGCCGGCCTCCAAGAGTCGGACGAGCCTCTCGGCGTCTGAGGCCACTGCGGGCAGATTTTTGATCCCCGGAGAGGCTGCGCGCGTTCATCCCTTCTCGGCCTCGGAGCAGAGCTGCTAGCAGAGGCAGGCGCCCGTCACTTTATATAATCCCGCTGCTCGCAGGGTACGCGAGCGAGAGCGAGAAAAGTGCGGAGTAGGGAATTCTTTTGCTGCGCTGCCTCCTACGCGGAGCCTGCTTTCCACTTCTGAAAAGTGCCGGGCCTTGGGAAGTGTTTTTCTTTTCATTCCTTACTGAAGCGTTTACTGCCGCCGTGGTTGCAGTCATAAATTTTGCTACAAACCACAATGACAGGTGCATTGATATGCACCGTGAGAGCTCCAGCTGCTTAATAACCCCGTCCCCTGGTCGCTGTGAGCGCCTTTTATTTATTCGGTATCATATTAGGTATTGATCTCTGGTAGAATTAAGTGCGGTGAGCAAGTATCAGGACTTGGCTGCTTTGGAGGCGCAGCGGGCGCTGCATGCCGGCAGGGCGGGGGGGAGCGGGCGGTGGCCGCTCAGAGAATACCATCCTTCCAGGGGGAGACCGTTTGGCCCTGTATTCCGGGCCTGCGGTTGGACCGCCAAGCTGAGTGGGGCAATTTCCCATCACCGCAAGAAAGGGCGAACCAGACCTATTTGGCACCCCTTTCCCAGGAGGAGCAGGGGACGGCGCCAGCAGGGTTTGGGGAGGCTGCCCTGGCCAGTTCCCCGGGTTAGAGGTTGGAGGAGAAGAGGAGGGAGAGGAAAGGGCAGCTGAGGACTTGGAAGAAATAAGGTGGCCCTGCTCTACCACCCCTCCCCCACACTGGCTGATCTTCACCCCAAGGCATTTTGGTCTTGGAGCCCAAATGAGCAAAGGTACCAAAGGGAGAGAAAAGAAAGGCTTTTAAAAAAAAGGGTGAGGGGGTGATCGAAAAGATGAGCCACTGAACAGTTGACCATTGTCCAAGTGATTTATGACCCGTTCCTGCTTTTTAGGTTCAAGCAGAGTTCACAAGGAGTAGGGATTTCTGAAAAGAAATAAGCCTTTTTTTTTTTTTTTTTTTTTTTTTTTTTTACCAGTTTTGTAATTATATTCTCAGGTTTTGTTTTAGGAGGGATTACTTTTTTGGGAAGCTGTATTTTGGGGGGACTGCAAAGCCATTTCCAGTAAGGACAGCACCACCACTGGCTCTTGCTTTTGGGGAAATGGACATTAAGGTAGTGGATTGTCACTGAGTGGGAAATTTCTTAAGACAATGTGAACAGGAAAACAGACTCTGATTTTTCAGGAAGCTGCCCAATATTTGTACTTTTGAGGTCTGTACAGAACTTTTTCTAAGAATATGCCATAGGAGCAAATATATATTTAAAGCCTTCTGTCCCAGAAGAACTAGTCAGTTCCTAAATAAGCTATTTCAGTGTGACTGGTTCACCTATCTAGATGAACTTTGTCAACTTGGGAGGCAGGAGTGGGGATGTTTTGCTTCCACAGTTGTAAATGGCATGACAGAGGCAGAATGTTCTGGTGGTCTGAGTGTCCGAGTGACCATTAGGCCTCCAGGAGGTTATGACTAGAAGCAGTATACCAGAAAAGCCTGAAACCTAATCAAATCCAGAGTGCCTCTTTCTTTAGCAGGGGGGCAAACATATGTGAATATTAGTCACAGATTGAAGAGATAGCTGTCCATTTGATATTCAGTAACTTTTAACAAAGAATGATACATAAAATTAATCAAAAGAAAGATTAAGTCTAGTTTTGTTAAGTAGATATCTTAACTACCTACATTTAGGAACACTAATGGAAACAATTTCTACAACATAATATCTTGGTATTAAGGGCCTGTCCTCATCAAGACAAATGGCATACTCACTTATATTCTAAAACAAACCAAAAAAATGGGCAACAAAACAACTTACCAAACAAAGACTAATTAGGAGAATTTTAAAAATTAGAGTAGGCTTTTGGTGAAGGTGGAGGGAAAAATGAGTGAATGATTTTGATATCGGTAGTCAAATTCATTAGGCTACATAAGCTGTCTAGATGATGTGGTCCATCATGATGACCAGGATGAAGGCCAGGGAGAGTTTCTAGGAAGGAAAGTTGCCTGAAAGACAGATCAAGAATTGAGACCAGGGAGCTGACCTATGAGTTTTCTTTATCAAACAGACAAAAGTGATTCAATGGTATTAGTTATACTTTAACTCTTTAGGAGCCTTTCAGAAGAAGTAGGGAGGGAGGGTGCGAAAGGAAACCCTTACCAAGAAGGGAATACAAAAGGGGTGGAATTTTTCTTAGCTTTTTTCTTCTTCAAATTCTGGGTCCATTCATCATGTCATGAAAAGTTCTCTCATTGGTTGTGGTTTGGGTGGGAGGTGGGGTAGAATAGATTATCCAGAGCAGAGGTCAATAAAAATATCTATTATACAATAGATTCAAGGCAAAAATGATAAATTTATAAAGCATTCTCTATTCACCCATGCATTTCCATGCATTTCAAATTCTAGATGTCTTTGCCTATTTCCAGTAGTATCCATTTAAAAGTAGTAGAAGGTCAAAAGTAAAAGGTCTAGAAAAATATAGATGAAAGAGAAGAAATATTTTCTAGCCTCAAAATGAATCTGGAAGTCTGCAAGTCCTCTTTTTGGTTTTTATCTCCTAGTTTTCTGCATTGTAGATTTCACACTGCTGATCCATAGAGCTAACTCAGCTGACTTTCACCCTGTCATCACTAAGTGGACTATGTGAACTTTCATGAAAGATGCTGTGATTTTGAAACCAGGTGGGGGAGACACTTTTCTTTTTTTTTTTTTTTTAATGTTCTGGCTGTTCTGAGTGTGTTATAGGAATTTCATTTCCCATCGAAATTTTGTGCTGACCCAATGATTGACTGATTGATTCACTTATTAATTCACGTATTCAACAAACATTTATTGCACTAACTACATGCAGGAATATACAGACAAATGACACAGCCCTTGCCTGCAAGGAGCTTACAGTCTAGTGGGAGAATCAGCCAATAAAATGTCTGAGGCTATAAGTGCTTTTCCACACAGAATAAAGGCTAAATGAACAATCTTGAAGAAAGTAAACTGTATCTGTAGGTGCGGGAAACCCCTTTCCTCAGCTAGAGTTTAGCAAAAAAGAAAGAAACATCTTATCTTACATTTAGGAAAAATTCCTTCTGACTTTTCCAGAGGTTCAAGTAAGTTGAACTTCATAAAATCTGCCAGGCACAGTGGCTCATGCCTGTAATTCCAACAATTTGGGGGACCAAGATGGGAGGATCACATGAACCCAGTAACTCAAAACCAGCCCGAATAAACATAGTGAGACCCTGTCTCTACAAAAAAACTAAGATCCAGGCATGGTGGCTCACGCCTGTAATTCCAGCACTCAGGGAGGCCTAGGCATGTGGATCACCTGAGATCAGAAGTTTGAGAACAACCAGGTCAACATGGCGAAGCCCTGCCTCTATTAAAAATACAAAATAATTAGCCAAGCTTGGTAGTGGGCACCTGTAATCTCAGCTGTTCAGGAAGCTGAGGCAGGAGAATTGCTTGAACCCAGGAGATGGAGGTTGCAGTGAGCTGAAATCATGGCACTGCACTCCAGCCTGGTCAACAAGAGTGAAACTCCATCAAAACAAAATAAAACGTAAGAAATTAGCCAGGCATGGTGTGAGCCTGTAGTCCTAGCTACCCCAGTAGCTGGGACTCTAAAATACTCTGAAATAGCTATTAATACTAGGCTGAAGTGGGAGGATCGCTTGAGCCCAGTAAATTGAGGCTGCAGTGAGCCATGTTCATGCCACTGCACTCCAGCCTGGGCAACAGAGCAAGACACTGTGTCAGTAAATAAACAGGTAAATAAACTCAGATCCAGCACCTTGCCAATCTCTCCACCACGAAATGGGTGGGAAGCAGAGAGCATGGGCTAGTCCTTCTATATTGACTGGTCTTGCCAATGACACTCCTTCTGGGGCTTCTTGCTTTTCTTCTGACAGGTCACCTGGAGCCTGGGGGCTTGTCCAGCTTTCTCAGGATTCAGCAGACATTGGAAGTGGCAGTTAAGGATACAGTGGTAGTCAATGTTATTTGAGCAGGGTCAGCAGGCCCTGGAGCTTCCTGAGTGCACAATGCAGAAGGCGGCTTACTATGAAAACCCAGGACTGTTCGGAGGCTATGGCTACAGCAAAACCACTGAAACTTACGGCTACGCCACCCCCCACCAGCCCTACCCACCCTCTGCTGCTGCCAACTCCCTGGACACTGACTATCCGGGTTCTGCCTGCTCCATCCAGAGCTCTGCCCCTCTGAGAGCCCCAGCACACAAAGGAGCTGAACTCAATGGGAGCTGCATGCGGCCTGGCACTGGGAACAGCCAGGGTGCAGGTGGTGGCAGCCAGCCTCCTGGTCTGAACTCGGAGCAGCAGCCACCACAACCCCCTCCTCCACCACCGACCCTGCCCCCATCTTCACCCACCAATCCTGGAGGTGGAGTGCCTGCCAAGAAGCCCAAAGGTGGGCCCAATGCTTCTAGCTCCTCAGCCACCATCAGCAAGCAGATCTTCCCCTGGATGAAAGAGTCTCGACAGAACTCCAAGCAGAAGAACAGCTGTGCCACTGCAGGTAGCTCTCTGAGGTGGCTCACCCCCAGACCAAGCCCCCTCCAGACTGACCCAAGGAAGCCCCAATCAGGGCTGGAAATGCAACCTTGGAGGTCATATGTCTAAACTCCTACTCATATAAAAATGTTTTTCCTTTTTAGCGTTCCTGATTGGTGTTATGCCCTTGCAGTGACAGGGTGCTCACTTCCATTCCAGGCTGCAGGTGCTATTGCTGGACAGGTCTTAATAGCTATTAATAGAGAGTGCTTCCTTATATGGGCATATCTGTTTTCCTGGGCTGCTAATCATAACTCTGTTCCCTCTTCCATCCAACAGGTCTTCAAGATTTGAAGACAGGTATAATCCCCAAGCCTAGGTGGTTATATAGCCCATATCACATGAATCTCATTCCCTTAAACTCATAAAAACTAAAGTCTTGGCCAAGAATGATGGCCCACGCCTGTAATCTCAGCACTTTGGGAGGCCTAGGTGGGCAGACCACCTGAGGTCAGGAGTTCGAGACCAGCCTGACCAACATGGAGAAACCCTATCTCTATTAAAAATACAAAATTAGCTGGGCATGGTGGTGCATGCCTGTAATCCCAGCTTCTTGGGAGACTGAGGCAGGAGAATCGCTTGAACACAGGAGGCAGGGGTTGCTGTGAGCCAAGATCATGCCATTGCATTCCAGGGTGGGCAACAAGAGCAAAACTCTGTCTCAAAAAAAAAAAAACCTAAAGTCTTAGAAAGTACCATACATACCAAATACTTTCTAGGCATTATCTAATTTAATTTTTCAAAGAATCTTTTGAGGTAGGTATATGATAACATCCCCATTTTACAGATAAGAAAACTGTTAGAGATGATAGGCAACTTGCCCAAGATCACAAAACTGTAAAGTGGTGCATTTGAGTCCAACCAGTCTGGCTTTAGGGACTGCTAGGCATGACCATGAGTCTCTGTTTGGCCCACCTCAGCCCATTCTCCTGCTCCAGCAAATCCATAATGGGGAGGTGCCTGTCCTATTAGGAGAGGATGTTCTGGGAGACAAGACCAGCCTTGGATTTCTCTAACTGGAAGGGGAGACCCTCAATTTGGGGCCTTCTCTAGGTCCACCCAGGGCATGTAGAAGATAGGCCTGGCCAGGAGCTCTGAGGCCTGCCCCCTCTCTCTGCTTAGACTGGTTGGTTCCTGAAATTTTCTGACCTTGTGTTATCTGATGTGATTTATCTTCAAGATGAACTTGCTTCCAGGTCCAGGGCAAGTTTGGGGCCTGGGGTGTGCTTGTTATCAGGGCTCTGGTTTGCCTGATGCTTTCAGGGGTTGCTCCTAGGCTAAAGGTATTATCTTGCCTGCAAGCTGCTTTTCCTGCCCCTCCCTCCTCAGCTGCAGGCTCAGGCCCTCCCTCCCAGGAGAAATCCATTTGTCTTCCCTGGGAGGGAGTGGACAAGCAGCTGAGAGGTGGCAGGGTAGTAAAAGCGAGTGTTGCGGCTGCTGCTCCCACCACTGTGAATACTCAAAATGCTTCTAGCCTGGCCTTGGACTCCCTGAAACACCCAGGCAGTGTTTTGTTTGTTTGGTTTTTATTTTTTTATTTTTTGGTGTATCACCTCCCTGGTTTTGGGTGCAGTTGGGCTGCAGTGAGGTGCCAAGATCTCCATCCCCACACTTTGCTGGGGGTTGGTGGGGGCTTTGCCCAGCAGCCAGCAAGACAGGCTGGAGCTAGTTCCTTCTCCTTTCCTTCTCCAAACCCCATCCCTGGCAGCAGAGGCTGGGAGGAGTGTTTAAAGGAGTCTGGCCCCTCTTTAACAGGGGGAGGCCTTACCAGCTGTTCCTAGTCTCTCATTAAACTCTTTCATGGCCTTTGGGTGGGCGTGGGATGAGGGACTAGGCTGCAGGGGAGAGGGTGGGCAGAGTGAACTGGATCTCAGAGGGCTGATGGAGGTTTCAGGTGCGACTGATAGGTAGGCCTTGTAGGGGATTGGTAGGTGAATTCTCCCTCGGAATCATACCTCTCAAAAGGCCCTTCCCCACCCCAGCCTGGATTGAAGGTGAGGGGAGGGGGGAGGAAAAGAGAACCAGGGAAGCACCCCTCTTCAATCCTGAGGGTACCCACCCCCTCGCTCAGCGCCCTCCCTCTTTCCCTCCCTGTCCAGGAGAGAGCTGCGAGGACAAGAGCCCGCCAGGCCCAGCATCGAAGCGGGTACGCACGGCGTACACGAGCGCGCAGCTGGTGGAGTTGGAAAAGGAATTCCACTTCAACCGCTACTTGTGCCGGCCGCGCCGCGTGGAGATGGCCAACCTGCTGAATCTCACGGAACGCCAGATCAAGATCTGGTTCCAGAACCGGCGTATGAAGTACAAGAAGGACCAGAAGGCCAAGGGCATCCTGCACTCGCCGGCCGGCCAGTCCCCTGAGCGCAGCCCACCGCTCGGCGGCGCCGCTGGCCACGTGGCCTACTCTGGCCAGCTGCCCCCAGTGCCCGGCCTGGCCTACGACGCGCCCTCGCCGCCGGCATTCGCCAAATCACAGCCCAATATGTACGGCCTGGCCGCCTACACGGCGCCGCTCAGCAGCTGCCTGCCACAACAGAAGCGCTACGCGGCGCCCGAGTTCGAGCCCCACCCCATGGCGAGTAACGGCGGCGGCTTCGCCAGCGCCAACCTGCAGGGCAGCCCGGTGTACGTGGGCGGCAACTTCGTCGAGTCCATGGCTCCCGCGTCCGGGCCTGTCTTCAACCTGGGCCACCTCTCGCACCCGTCGTCGGCCAGCGTGGACTACAGTTGCGCCGCGCAGATTCCAGGCAACCACCACCATGGACCCTGCGACCCTCATCCCACCTACACAGATCTCTCGGCCCACCACTCGTCTCAGGGACGACTGCCGGAGGCTCCCAAACTGACGCATCTGTAGCGGCCGCCGCTAGCCCGAACTCGCGGCGCAATTACCTCTCTTGCTGTAGTGGTGGGGTGGCGGGCGGGGCCCGCGGGGCAGTTCGGGAACCCCCTCCCCGGCTCTTGCCCCGCCGCCGCCTCCCGGGTCTCAGGCCTCCAGCAGTGGAGGCGCAGGCGACCGGGCCTTCCCCTCCATGGGTGTCCTCCTTTGGGTGACTCGCCATAAATCAGCCGCAAGGATCCTTCCCTGTAAACCTGACAGTGCCACATACTGCGGACCAAGGGACTTTAATCTGGTAATGGTGTCCCAAAGGTAAGTCTGAGACCCATCGGCGGCGCGCCCTGCAGAGGGACCAGAGCCCGGAGAGTCTTGGGCCTGGCCCGCGTCTAGCTTAGTTTCGGAGACCTTAATTTATATTCTCCTTCCTGTCCCGTAAGGATTGCATCGGACTAAACTATCTGTATTTATTATTTGAAGCGAGTCATTTCGTTTCCCTGATTATTTATCCTTGTCTGAATGTATTTATGTGTATATTTGTAGATTTCTCCGGCCGAGCTTAGGAATTCGCTTCCAGGCCGTGGGGGCCACATTTCACCTCCTTAGTCCCCTTGGTTTGAACTAGTTGAAAGAGTAGTTTTGAACAGTCGTAAGGGTGGCTGGTGTTTGTAGTTGATGTAAAGGATTTAAGACCGCAAATTGTCCTTCATGGGTAGAGTCAGAAAGCCCGGTGGTGTGGCACAACACACGTTAGTCATTTCTCAAAAGCCACAGCCCTCGCCACAGTTTATTGATTTCAAATTGTCTGGTACTATTGGAACAAATATTTAGAATAAAAAAATTTCTCAGTTGGAAGTGTATCTGTGTTAATCATGCACACTTGCAAGCAGATCACTATGCCTTTATCTCGCACAATCCCCATGGAAGGCCCCAAAATAGACTGACACTTGAAAACATTATTTTATTTATTTGGAGTCTAGTGCAAAAATTGGTTCTGGGGATACTTGATTACTTTCCAGCTATTGAAATTAGGGGAGGGGGAAATGAGGATGCAAACCTAGAAAGGTTCTAGGCAGGATGATTTGGATAGGGCTTTTTGAAAGTAGCTCCTGCTTTGCTCTTTTTACTGCCCTCTTTCTGGACACAATCGACTTTTACATTAGGGAGGCCAGAGCTCACTTTTCTGCATTAAGTAGCAAAAAATAAACTTTGAAAGAAAACTGACAATCAAAGAAAAAACACAAGAGAAGTTGTAAAAAGAATTGAGCTATGAAAAAGCTAAGGTGTAGAAAAAGAAACCATCATTTGGAGATGCACACCTAAGCCTTTTCTCTAGGAAATGCTGTCATGAATTCTTCCTTTGTAGTGGTCATTAGTTCATTTCTAAAGAAATCAAACATTCTCCATGATGTAAAGAAATAACAGTTTCATAAATGAAACATAACAAGTATAAACACCTTGTTTGCTCCTGTTTCTTTGTACAAAATGGGCAAAAATGTCTTCAAGGATTTATAACCATTTTGTAAATACTAATGTGGCTTCTGCTAGGCGTAGACAACTTCCCTGCTTCTATGAGAGGGGCCACTTAGAAAACGCCTTCAGATAAGGTTCAATTCTTTTGTATTTCAGCAAAGTCAGCCCACACATCTCTATTTGGTTTGACAAATAATGCAACTCCCACTACATCCCTGATGACATGAGGTGAAATTCCTATTGCGTGGAAATAATTTAACTTCTCATCTTCTGGTGGAACAACAATCATTTCTATTTGGATGTTTGTATTTCGCTAAGTAATGATGGCTCAAAATAATATTTAGTTTCCTTGTTCCTTTGTGCTGTTTTTAAAATGGCATGTTAGATTGGGGGTGGGAGAGGATATCCTTTTGCTAAATTTCACTTTATCTGAGCAGGTTTAAAATATATATGTTGTAGAAGTGTATCAACAGAATAAATGACTTCAATCGAAGGCATATTTTACCCACTTTCAAGGCTTAACATTGTTTTCTATGAAATTTGCATCCACAGGCAGAATTTCTAATTGTCTGGCAAGAAATTATTTTTTAAGCTATTAGAGAAATCAAAGAAGAGTTCACTGCCTTTCAGGGATTACAACCACCTTTCTTAACTGGCTAAATATTAAATAGCTGAATTGTCAGGCTGCTTAGATTCAGCCCAGTTTTCCCTCATCTCCTCTTCCTACCATAAATAATAATAAAAATACATAATGTATCATGGCTCCAGGCGTTTTCCAGCACAGTGTGTTACCGCAGAAGTATCTGCTGAGTCTGCGGGTGTCTGCAAAGCCCCAAGTATCATTTGCGGCTTAGGGTTTCATGGATTAGACTTTAAACTGTGTCTAGCCCGGCTGACATCAGCTTCCTCTCACACACAGGCTCCAAGGAAGTGCGGGATCTGGGGCTCCCTCTCCAGACAGCCGCAGCCTTCCCCAGCCTTCCCCGAGGCCCTCCACTCGAGTGGGCTGAGGGCTTGGACCAAATCCGCTGCCTTCTCCCACCTTTGGAGGTTCCCGAGACTTCTAAGAATGGCTCGAATCTGTTCCTGCCATTGGCGTGAGACTTATCTGAGGGGCATTGGTCGGGGTGGCGGCGAGCCATGGGAGGGCGCGTTTCGCGCGGCTGCCAGCCCGAGAGAGAGCTGGGGCCTGCGGCACAGCCATTTAAAACTTCATAAATTATAAACATGCCGCCTTAGCCTTCTCAATAAATTCCGCTCCTCTTGAGCCTGCAATTAGTGTTAGAAAGCACCCGAGTCTAAACACAACCAAACGCCCTCTGAAAGGCCCAACTGCCCGAGGTTGCAAACGTTTATTTCCCAGTGTCCCCCTCTGCGCCTGAGGTTTGCACACACAGTCGCCTCCTCCCCCGCCATCGCCGGCCGCACACTCTGCTGGGTTCCCGCTCTGCAAGGGAAGGTCACAATAGATGCTCCAGCGGCGGCGGAGGCGCCTGCTTCCTCCCTCCCGGGTCTCACAAGCAGAGAAACAAGAGGATGGGGGAGGGGATGCCTCAGCAACAGCGCCCTTTGGGGGTGACAATCTCTACCCTTGCCAGGGTCTCTTTCCTGGGATGGGTGCTCGTGAAGGGTTGGGGGGGGCAAAGGGAGAGCACCAAGACCACAAGACTGCTTCAGGCCTTGCCGCCAGCTGCTGGGTTGAGGGTGCCAGGAGCAGCCGCGCCATTGTGTGCCAGGTTTTCCCATGGGTTCCGTGATGGGGAAGGCCTTGTAAAGGGAGCTCGGGCCGGGCCTCTCCGGCACTGGTCTCTGGGAGGGTCCACCTTATTTGCCCAAGGGGAAGAAATGGCTGTCTCAGGCCTCAGCCAGTTCTGCTTTTTGCCTATAAAGACAGCTTTGGGGAAGGTGGGAATCAGGCAGATTGTGAGGCCTTCTGAAGTCTGAAGAAAGGGGTCAAGGCAGGAGCTCAGGCCCATGGATGGGGGGTGGTAGTCGTCTGGACATTCTTGGTGGTTTTGTCCAGGCAATCAAATGGGAATTAAGGCAGGATAGCTGTGAGGCAGCCTTAACGGCCAGCTGCAAAATGGAAGGTGGGGGTGGGGAAGGAGATGCAGACAGTGAGAGCTTTCCCTGCGAAAAACTCAGGATCCAGCCAGGAGTGAAGTGCTGAGACCCAACTGGGCTAGTCAGGAGGGATGGGGAAGTGGCAGAAGAAAGGCCTGAAGAGTAGCCTTGGCCACTGGTAAGCAAGTCAGAAAGGGTGATTAAGGACATATTCTGCCTCCTGGCTTTCAGACCTCCGCCTCATCTACAGACCTGACAGAGAAAAATCTGCCTCTGATGGAATCATTAAGTTAACCATCCATTTGTACCATTTCTTTGTATAGGCTTTCAAATGAGAGAGAGGAGAGAATATAGAAGGAGTACATTTCCCTTGGTGCAGCTCCAAGCTCCCTATCAGAGACACATCAGCCAAATTAGTTTCTGAGGCTCCAGAGGCTGCTAACCTTGCTGAACAAAGATTTTTCGAATTTCTATGTGTTAGGAGTATTAAAAGATAGCGATTACCTATACTAGCTGCCTGTGTCCCTTCTCCCTTCCCCAGTTTGTACCAGCCCACTGGCCCTTGAGTGAAGTGCATCTTCTCAGCCTGCGGGCTTAGGAGCTCAGGCTCTCCATCTGTTGAGGTTTTTCATTAGGGAGACTAAAGAGGATGTGTGTGGGTGTGTGTTTGAATAACAAAGAAGTAACCCTTCATTCTAATAAAAAGTGTTCCTCTGCTTTGACCTGGGGGAGCCAGAAGCTTGTTTATACCTTCAGTATTCCAGGGACAGTCACAGGCCTGTTTTGACCTTTTCCTGAGAATTAGCTGAAACTTCCTTCTGAAGTCAGTAGTGAATCTCTTACAGGTCTAAGGAAGGTCCTCTTCATCTGCGAGTTCTTGACATTACTTTAGTCCTTCTTTTAGAAACTGGAAGAAAAGAATAGGAAGAACAGAAGTTTGTGAGTAGGCAGGAAGAGAGAAGGAAGACCCCAGTCTTCACAGGCCTATGGCCTAATCACTTCAAGGCGCTGCAACTTCCCAGAGAGAGTATATATGTAGAGCCTGGGTGAGTGGGCCTATTTCTAGACACTTGGGCATGGAGAGCTGAGACTGGATTGTCACTAGCCAAGTGACAATCTCCAAGCCCTTACCATCTTGGAGAGCTGGTTCTTAGATCTCTCTTGCAGAAGGCCTGGATAGAAAGAAGAAATACTGGATATATAAGTCCTCCACATTCCCTGCACTGGTGATGCTGAAGAGGAAGGATGGTGAATGATGAAGATTATCACAGAGGATGAAATGTTAGTTCTCAGTTCTCATTGTTCCCTGTTTTGTTTTGTTTTGTTTTGAGATGGAGTCTTGCTCTGTCACCAGGCTGGAGTGCAGTGGCACAATCTCAGCTCTCTGCAACTTCCACCTCCCAGGTTCAAGCGATTCTCCTGCCTCAGCCTCCCGAGTAGCTGCGATTACAGACGTGCACCACCACGCCGAGCTAATTGTTGTATTTTTTAGTAGAGATGGGGTTTCACCTTGTTGGCCAGGGTAGTCTCCATCTCTTGACCTTGTGATTCAGCCACCTCAGCCTCCCAAAGTGCTGGGATTACAGGCATGAGCCACCGAGCCTGGCCCTGTTCCCTGTTTTCTATTCCAGCTACAAAAACCCTTATCTTTGGAGTCCAAGGTTGAAAACAAATGGATTTAGGTATCTAGCCTAAAGCCTATTCCTAAAAACTTTTCCCAGGTTTCACACCCACCTTGGCAAGTTGGAAAGTACAAAGACGGTATAAGGGCCAATCTTCAGGCCAGGTCCAGCATGAAACAGAGTGAACAAAATATTTCCACACATTAGGGAAGAGCCAAGTGACATGAATGTCCAATCATTTGCAATAGCAGAGGCAGGTGAAGGGTCCCCAGATCTGTAAGGCAGGAGCTATTGCATGAGTCGTCCTGTCCTAGATCTTGGGCAAAATGTCTTGATTGGTTCCTGTAGCTATTCTGGATTATTTGAAAGAAATAATAATATCTGGGGAATCCTAAAAGCTGAGTTTTAACATTAGTAAGGGCCAGAAGAATTTAAATCCTAATTTAAGCCAGAATTCATGAAGAGTTCCGGTACAGATAGTGTTTTTATCTGTACCGGAACAGCTAAAAACAGGGCTCAAAACCAGGGCTTGAAGCAGGGCTCAAAACCAGGTCAGGAGGGCTTGTTGGGCCAGGAGTGTCCGTGGTTGGTGAGGAGGCTGGGGGAAGGCCTTTTGATGGCTCCATTGTTCACAGTGCTGCCCTACATATACCATACCCCACCCCACCTCCTCTGCCAGGGCCGAGGGGAACAGTAGGTCCGGTAAACTGAGCTCTAGGGAGCTGGTACCAGCGTCCCTCACCCACCCTCGGCTACCCCTTGGGGCAGCAACGATGCCATCCCTGCCCCTGGTAGAGAACACACAAAGGAAGCCCCACCCGTCCTTGGACCTGAAGACACGCTGGGGAGGGGGCTGGCGTGGACCCGTTTCAGGGTGCCACCAACCCCCGCGGGGAACAATAGCTGCCGCCTCCTGGGCGGTCTGGCGAGCGCAAGGCACAAAGGTCCGCGCCGCGCGGTGATGCGCAGGCTCGCTCCGCGCGCGTTCTCCGCGCCCCCGCGAGCCGCCAGGCTGCAGGCAGGGTGGGCTGATGCTCCTGATCCACCTGGAGCACTTTCGCAAAGACAAACGGTGAGTTAATCACCCTACCGGCTGGCGACCGGGTCCCCTCTCGCCCAGGAGGTGGACTGGAGGGGGCTGGGGTGGATTTCTGTGTGTGTGTCTAGGGTGGGGGACGGGAGAGGTTAGTCCTATTAAGAGTTCATCAATCACCCGGTGTGCACTTTTCGCTCGACAGCGGTTCCTCCTACTTCTGAGCAAGTCTGGGCCAGCTGGGATCCGACCAGAAACCGCAAGCGGAGGAGACGCAGGCACACAAGCTGAGCGCTAATGGAAGGCGCGACCTGAGCCCCGCGCCTGCTGGGGAGCTGCGCAGCCGGGACAGCAGTCGGCAGCGCAGGGCTGGCCGTCGCCCCCTCACGTCCGAAGCTAGCAAGGCTGCCCGCCAGCCCCGCCGCCCGCCAGCCCCGCCGCCCGCCTTCGGACTTCCCGGGACGCCCAGGGCCCTCCCAACGCGCCTGCACCCACACCCGCCCCTGACCCACAGTGACCCTGCATTCCCCGCCCCCCGCCACACCTCCTGCGTGCCGGAATGCCACCCTTAAACGCTGCTCTACACCCAGAGAGGGCCGAATCCACCTTTGAAGGCAGGGCAGGACTAATTTCAATGGGTCAGAAGGTTCTTGCAGGCACTGTTTTATTTAAGAGTGTCTATTTACTGGCAGGAGTATTTGTGTGGGAGGAAGTAGGCTAAGACTGCTGTTGAACTTGAAGCTAAACTTGAATGCCATTTAAAATAACAATAAAAATATACTTAAAACACCAATCACAATGATATGACTCACCTCTCCTTTCCAATGTGGAGGAAACACTCCAGTATTTTTACCTCTGTTCTTTCTAGCTTATTTTAAGAACACCCTAAAGGGACAGACAGCAAGTTTCGGAGGGTAGTCATTAGCATTAGAGCTGTTTACAGCAGGAGGGTTTGGTGGAGTTAGTGGTGAAGCATTTTTATAATCCCTCTGGAGTGGTCATGCTGTTCTCCTTATAAATCCTAACCAAATTCCAGCCTAGTTTCCCTTTCCCCATTTTTTGCTGGGGGACATCAGCTGAGATGTTTCTGAAGTTAGTAAATGTGTTGCCTTAGCCCACAGGAAAGAGTCCCTGAAGGACAGAAAGCCTCAGCTTTTGCCCCCTCTTCCTTCAGCCTTCTCTCCCTTCATCCTCTCCCTTCATCCTCTTGGGTGGAAAATGAACTTGCTTTGGAAAAATGTTCTACCATGTTGCTTCACATAGATATAAGCTGAAGCATTAAGCCCCACACAGTGTCCTGAACTCACTGAGCAATGAAACTACTGGTCCTGCTGTCCTTGGTTCAGTCTGTCCCTCCTCCTTGCCTTGCACCAATTCCTAGTGAACAGCTCCTATACACACTGTGCTGGGCTCTGGGATACAAAGATGAGTCACTGATGGTGTGTGCCCTTCAATCTAGTGGGGAAGAGAAACAATCCTGAAGCAATAATGGTGGATGCTGTAACAGAGGTGTGGTGAAAATGTTTCTATAATAAAAAAGGAGCCACTAATACTACTGTAAGGTCAAAAAAAAAAAAAAAATCAGAGGAGGTAAATTCAGGTTCCTGAACTATAAGAGTTTTTCAGGCCAAGAAGGGAAGGCCATACTAGGTAGAAAGTGCAACTCATGCAAAAGCAAAGAGGGAGGAAAAAGCAAAGTCTGCACTTGGAACAAGGAGCATACTTTGGAGTGTGGGCATCCTGGCTGAAAAGGGAAGTTGCACAGGGTTTATATGAAGGAGTCTGGACCTACTCTGTCCAGAGTAGGAAACCACAGCAGGTTTTAAGCTGGGATGTGAAGTTATGTATTTTGAAGCTAACTGTTAGGGATGCTGTATCTGATTGGAGAAAAGAGAGACACGGCAAGAAGAACAAAAAAGGAGGTGACTGCATCAATACAGCAGTTAGAGAGGAACTAGTTCCAATCAGAGAGGAACTAATTAACAAGAATGAAGAGAAAACACATTTAGGAGGTAGAATTCACAGGACTCAGTGATCAACTGGATGAGTAAAAGAGGAGTTGTGGATATTAATCTCTAGATTTGAGGAGCTGAGTCATCCTAGTCACTAAAATAAATAGAGGAGGGAGAAGAGAAGCCTTTGCAGGGAAGCTAATGAGTTTGGTTGCAGTCTACATTGTATTTTCTGCTTTGCTACTGACATACTGTGTGGCCCTATGCAATTTACTTAATCTTTCTGGTCTTCTGTTTCAGCAGTGAAAGAGTCAATAAAGATATCTACCTCATAGGTTTATCATTAGAGTAGTATGGGTATGTGTGTTAGATATCAGTAAAGTGAGTATTCTATAGAAACCTAAAACCTAAAGAAAACACACCCCCACTCACACCATGCTGATTAATACTTAGATCCTGGGTGGCCAGTGAGAAATGTCTTAGAGAAATTAAAAACAATGCTTTGCAGATATTGAATCCAAGCTAATGTTTAGGACTAGGTTAGATCAAATTGCTAATCAGAGACCTCTCCTTCAAGAGCAGTGCTTGCTGGAGGAGTCATGCAGAAATGTGTTCTTGGTATCAGACCATTAAAGAAGAGGTCTTTTAGCCAATGTCACACAGCTTCCATGTTTTGTTTTGTTTTGTTTTAATATCACCTGTCTTTCAGAGAATGCTTGAAGGCACCTACTGTCTTTTGAACCTCCTTAAGCCCCGTGTGGAATGGTGTAGTACAGGGAATAGTGCTGAAGATCTGACTCTGGCCATTTACACTGGGTGTGATTACAGCAAGTTGTTTATCTTTTCTGTGTTAGTATTATCATTTGTAATACAGAATTATGAAAGGTTCAAGATAAGGAAGAGAGAGATTTTGGGAGATGTTATAAGGGTAAGTAAAAGGTATTATTTTTCACTTATCAGATCGGCAAACATAAAAACTTCCCATTAACTTGGCAAAGGTGTGAGAAGACAGGAGTGCTCATATATTGCTGATAGTGGTATAAATTGATTCATTTCTGTAGAGAAATGTATTAAAACTGTCAGTACACATACCTTTTGACTAAATCATTTCACTTCTACAAATTTTTCTAATAGGTAAAAGCTTGACCATGTGTTTGTAATAGCAAAAGGTTGAAAACAAGCTAAATGCCCATCAATAGGGAATGGCTAAATGAATTGTGGCAGGTGTATACAGTAGAACGGTATGAAGTTATAAAAGTAAACCAGGGCCAGATGCTGTGGCTCACATCTGTAATCCCAACACTTCAGGAAGCCAAGGCTGGCAGATCACTCAAGCCCAGGAGTTCAAGACCAGCCTGATTTTTGTAGAGATGAAACCTTGTCCCTACAAAAAAATACAAAAATTAGCTGGACGTGTTTGTGCATGCCTGCAATCTCAGCTACTCAGAAGGGTGAGGTAGAAGAATCACCTGAGCCCGAGGCTGCAGGGAGTCATGATTGGACCACTGCACTCCAGCCTCAGCAACAAAGTCAGACCCTGTCTCAAGCTACCACCACAACAACAATGCAGGAAGTTATATGTGTATTTATATGAACATCATTTATATGGAATGATCTTCAAGATACAATGGGGGAAAAGCATGGTGTAAAAAAGTCTTCCTAGCATGCTACCATTTGTGTAAAAACCTGTGGGGTACACACTCACACGTATATAAATTGTGCTAGTAAAAATTGTCTCTGAAAAGATACCCAAGTTGGTTGCTTATGTGAAGGAGAATTAGGTAGCTGGGAAAAAGAGTGGGAGGAAGACTTTTCACTGTATACCCCTTTGTACCCTTTGAATCTTGAACCAGGCACATTTAAATTTATTACCCATTTGAAAAAGTAAAAGAAGCCAGGCATGGTGGCTTTCACCTGTAATTCCAGGACTTTTGGGAGGCTAAGGCAGGCTGATCACTTGGGGTTAGGAGTTCGACACCAGCCTGGCCAACATGGTAAAACCCCATGTCTACTAAAAATACAAACATTAGACAGGGGTGGTAGCATGTGCCTGTAGTCCCAGCTACACAGAGGCTGAGGCAGGGGAATCACTTGAACCCAGGAGGTGGAGGTTGCAATAAGCCAAGATCATGCCACTGCCCTTCAGCCTGGGCAATTAGAGCAAGACTGTCTCATAAAAATGAAAAATTAAAAAAAATAATAAAAGAACAGAGTAGAGGGTGGCAGGAGGGAGAATATCAGGAAAAATAACTAATGGGTACTAGGCTTAATATCCAGGTGATGAAATAATCTGTATAACAAACCCTCATGATACATGTTTATCTATGTAACACATTTGCACATGTACCCCTGAACTTAAAATAAAAATTACAAAACAAAACAATACCATTAAAAAGAAATGGAACTCACCTTGAGTAAAATAAGTAAATAAAGGAACAGCAACAACAACAAATTGTTAGTACAAGTGACCTGGGTGTGCCTGTGTGTGTTCATATGTGTTCTTATTCATACTTGCTCTATCCAGCAAAATTAATCTTGGGATACCTCTTGTTTTGTTCCCCCAGGGCTCTGATGCTGATCAACCTCAATGATAATGAGGTGACCCTTTACTCTTGCTTGGTGGTGGGGACCTAGGTCTGTCTCTGCCCTCTCTTGTAGGAGTACTCAAGATGAGGCTATAGAAGTCTGGGGCAAAGCAGCAGGCCTCTCAGTCAGAACCACTGACTGTGTGGCCTCCCGGAAATGAGTACACCTTCTTGAGCACTGCTCTGCTTGCTCGGGATCGAGGCCTGCCACTATGCCAAGGGGTGGCTACTGTACTTTTTTTTTTTTTTTTTTTTTAGACGGAGTTTCACTCATGTTACCCAGGCTGGAGTGCAATGGCGCGATCTCGGCTCACCGCAACCTCCGCCTCCTGGGTTCAGGCAATTCTCCTGCCTCAGCCTCCTGAGTAGTTGGGATTACAGGCACGCACCACCATGCCCAGCTAATTTTTTGTATTTTTAGTAGAGACGGGGTTTCACCATGTTGACCAGGATGGTCTCGATCTTTTGACCTCGTGATCCACCCGCCTCTGCCTCCCAAAGTGCTGGGATTACAGGCTTGAGCCACCGCGCCCGGCCGCTACTGTACTTCTTTCTCTTCAAAGACTGTGAAAAGGCAATGGACTGTGGAAAGTCAGGAGACCAAAGGTGGTTTCATTTTTTGCAGGATGGCTTTGCCTTTTAACCCCTGAATTAAAGTGACTTCCTCTCTAAAATTAGGGGTTTGATATAGCTTACCTAGACAGTGTTTCTAGCTTTGACATCTTAGGCTGTGAAAAGTCAGCCTTTAGCCAGAGGAAGAGTTATAGCTTAGGCTAAGGGACATTTGGCCCCCTCTGGATCCCTGGGGCTCAAAGGCATACTCCAGACAATTTGAGAAACACAAAGGAAAAAGGGTGGAGTCCTCTCTCTTGAGATGCCCATTCTCACTTCTTTCTTCTTCCCATTGCCTCAGAACCACTCTAAATTTTCTCTGAAGAGACTGGAAGAGACAAATCTCTTTCTCTTCCCACCCTACTGGCATCATCAGAGCCAAGATAGGGAAGTGGCAAGAAGCAGAAGTGAGCCCAGTCTCTGCAAATCACCAATGGCCAGCAAAACTTGGGAAACTTCCAACTGACCACTTCTTAAGGATATGTTCTAAAACTTCAGCCCAAGTAGACTTAAGTTTGACCTTGACATTGACCTATCTGCAACCCAAGAGACCTCTGGACACTTTTGAGGTATACTCACGTACCAGCTAGCCATGACCTGGCATCATTCATGATCCCTCCCATAGGAACATCTCCTTTCTTCCCACACTGCCCCTTCCCAACCCAACTCCTACAGCAGAACTTTCCGAAGTGTAGTTCCAAAGAATCTTGCTTTAGGATTACTCCAAAGGCCTTGTTTAAAAAAAAAAAAAAAAAGGATTCCTAAGCCAGGCACAGTGGCTCGAGCCTGCAATCCTAGCACTTTGGGAAGCTGAGGTGTGTAAATCATTTGAGCCCAAGAGTTCAAGACCAGCCTGGCAGCAGAGTAAGACTTCTTCTCTAAAAAAAAAAAAAAAAATTAATTAAATAAAAAAAAAAAAAAAGTATTCCTGACTCATACCTATTGGATAAAAGTCTCTGGGGGTGACCCATAGAAACCTCAACTTTTAAACAAGGTTCTGTGGTGATTTCTACCCACATGATGTGTTTTGGGAGGCAATAATCTAAAGATATCCTTCAGCCAGTATTAGTCCTGGTAAAGACACACCATTCTATTCACTCTGCTTATGACAAAGAAACATTTGTCAAATGCCTCCACGTGCAAATCACTGGCTTGACCAGTGAGACTTTCATTCACAAAATTCTCAGGGAAAGGCACAGTACTTTAAATGTTTTCCTCAGGGAAGGTCATATTGTCAGATTTCCAACAGGTTTAGAATTCTTGTCCTTAGGACCCCTTTGCATCCCTACCTCCGTCCTAGGATGACTGAAGGATGCTACAGAGAACAGCATCTTAATCTGCACTTTCTCTTAATGTGGCTTAAGACAAAAAGACACCCACCATTTTTCACCCCAACAAAGACTTTCTGTGTCTTGGGGTTAGGAAGCCAAGAGTTTTAATGTGCTCAAGTGTCTCCAAATGGTAACATAGTGGGATTTGTCTAAAGGGCTTGCCCAGAGCTTCTTGAAAACAACTTTAAAAACACAGCAGTAATCGCTGCACTTGGGGAGGCTGAAGTGGGCAGATCACCTGAGGTCAGAAGTTCAAGACTAGCCTGGCCAACATGACAAAACCCTGTCTCTACTAAGAATATAAAAATTAGCCAGGCATGGTAGCATGTGCTTGTAGTCTCAGCTACTAGGGAGGCTGAGGCACGAGAATCGCTTGAACCTGGGAGGAGAAGGTTGCAGTGAGCTGATATTGTGCAGCTGCACTCCGGCCTGGGCAACAAAGCGAGACCCCATCTCAAAAATAAAATAAAATAAAACAAACACACAGAAGACCAGACTGCCATCCTCCATCACTTCTGTCTGCAGAAAAGAGGCTAGTTATTAGAAAGGGAAAGAAAGGTAGTCATGAAAGGGATAGGGAATGGGTAGGGAGTCACTGCTGTGATGAGCAGGATGGGAGAGATTTCAAAGCATTCCTACATCAAACACAACCCGGCAATCGGGGCCCCTCTGCTCTCATCTCCTGTGGAGAACTCAGCACCAGGACCCAGCAGGGCAAGTGACCATTGGGAATTCATGGCTTGACAAGTAATAAAATTAGTAAGACATTTCTCCCATATTCTGTGAACATCTAAGAGACAAACTTTAAAGTAACTCAAAATATGCTACATTCACATCTTTCTACATTTCCCCAAATAATATCTTCCAATCTCTCCTTAGATAATTATAAATTAAGATTATTTTAGAGTAAATTTATAGTATAGCTAAGACCTGTGTTAGAAATTAATCTCTAGTTCCTTTGGTTCGAGAATGTCTTTTCCCTAGCCTAATTTTCTCCTAACAAAATGCCCATACATAGTAAATCCTTGGTAAATATCTGTTGAATTTGAGTATGAGATGACCAGAGTCTTGACTTCCAATCTTCGGAGATTAAGGGAGTGGAGAGAAGTGTGAATGTAGCTTTCTTTATGCAATTATCAGAGAAATGCTATTGGGTTTGAACAAATATTGAACAACTCCTCCTCATTCTCACCCACAACTGTAAAAACAAAACAAAACAAAACAGTATTTTTAAAAACCTCACTCTTTTAGGACATTTTCTTCCCTCAGAAAGGCTAAATCTCCAAAATTTTACTTGATGGAGCTAGTGTGGATAGCTAATGGGTGCATCAAAATCAAGGTCTAATTATATCAGGAAGGACCTAGCCTTTGCCCTAGATGCTCAGCAGGAAAAACCTAGACTTTGTTGCCATGAAAGCTGCCAGGACACCAAGGCAGCCTGATTTTTCTGAAACCTTAGAGAATAGGCCCTTAATCTGAGGGGTTTTGGTCAGACTTGCCAGACAGGCTGACTTTTCTGCCCTAAACCTTGGGTTGCAGTTGGCTCGATGTCTTCCCCAAAGAGGTTTACAAAGCCAGTCTTCCTTCTTGACCCATGGGACCTCTGGGCTTAGGAGTTATGATATGATAAGTATTATTTGGGGGAATGCTGTGAAAGCTGGGACATCTTGCAGATAAAACTGGCTATTAAAATCTGGCCAGAGGTGGAGGAAGGGGCATTGTGAACTCAGCAGCATCTTATTTGCTGATACTTTTGCATAAACAGCAGAGAGGGAGAGCAGTGAAGAACATGTCTACATTTTAAGGCTGACCTAGCTCTGAAGAGCTTTATCATTTCCTAACTAGGGTGCTAGGGAAGAACTTTTATTTTTCTCCTCTTAAAAATTATTTAGGACCTTTGTCATCTGACTGGCTACACCACAAAACTGAAATAGCAAAATCAAGTTTGAAGGGCTATTTTCAGCACAGGGATTCCATTTCCAATCAAACTCAAGAACGCCAGCAGTGCAGGAACCACAGATCCCTTTAAATTTGTGCTCATTCCCAGGCATCCACCCTCTGTCGGCTCCCCTCAACCTGGGGACACCCCTTCTCCATACTGCAGCAAGTTCAGGTCCACCGGTAGTTTACATTTTGGCAGGGCTTTGTTTATTCACAAGTCCACATCCCTGGAAGGAACTGGCTCCCTGAGCTGTGATGGCTTCTATTCTAAAGACTTCCTTAGGGTGGAATTTTAGGCAACAGCTCAATCACTCCTTTATGACAAGTGGATCAGTAAAACAATAATAAAACCTCGGTTACCATAACTCAAGCTGTAATAGATTAAGTTTTCAAGGGTACTTGATATAAGCTCTGAGTAGCCTCTTTAGAATCTTTATTCACACAGGGTTTTAGGAAACCACCATTTTTCATTACTACCGTGTCTAAATAACCTCTATTTATCTAATTTGCTATTTTCCCACAGCCCCCCAAAAAGGGAAACATTAAAAGAAATACTCAAGGAAGTTTTAAAGTTTGTCATTATAAAGCTGGTCTTTGTAACCTTTCTACTCTTCATTTCCTGTGCCAGTTGCACTTTTATTTCCCGTCTCTCTACACTCAGTAAAACCATATTATCAAGGGAAAGACGTGAGCCCATTAACATCGTGAGCCCTCACATTTCACTAGCAAGAGACGACACAGCACTTATCTGATGGAGCAGAAGCTCTAATTGCTTCGAGGTACAAGTCCATCCAAACCTCTGAGATCTCACCCGTCCTCTGGAAGCCTTTGCGCCCTCCAGACAAGATCCTCGGTGAAAGCAAGCACCGCACCTTGCCTGTGCCAGCCTCCCAGAGAGGTTCCACTACCACCCTGGATGCTTTATTTCAACAACCCAGCCGGAGGGGAAAATCTGCTAAACTTCCCCACAAGGCAGAAACTTTATCAAAACCTGGCACTACAACACTGGCCCTCATCACGCTGCCACAAATTGCGAGGGATATAGAAAGCTGCGAAGTCACGTGAAAAGGAAGCCTAGTCAAAAAGTGAAGATGTTGTCCTGCCCTAGGCACACAGCACTCACAGCATAAAATGTAGGGCCATGAGTCATAGGAAAGGAAGAAGAAAGGGAAAAAACCAAGCATTTGCTCTAGGTTTAGAAGAAGGATAATAACATCAGTGCCCAGAAAACCGAATGCGCAGAGGACTCAGGAGAAGGGAAGAGGAATAACTTTACCTATCCTGGAGGTAGGCGAAGAGCCGTCTCCACCCTCCGCGCGCCAGGCGCCCGTTTAACCTTTTCCACGCCGCGAGCCCACACTCCTCCCCAGAGGGACTAGTCCCCCACGGTCCAGAGCAATAGCGACTCGCGCCCCTCCATCCCCTCGCCCTCACCCAAGCGGCGGGTCGTTCCTTTCTCCCCCCACCTCGCCCAATACCTGTCCCGGAGCAGGCGTCCTGCGCTCTCGCCCCGCCGTTGCCCAGGCAGCCCCCGGCCGGGCCACCTCTCCCCGGGGCTGGGGGGCGCCGGGCGGGGGCCCAAGGCTGCTTTGGCTAAGTTGGCGGCGGGGCAGGAGCAGGGAGCGAAGCGCCAGTCGGGACCTGGGCCATGCGGGGAGGCCGCCCATTGGCCGGCCAGCGCCACGTGGCCACCCCCGCCGGTATATTAGGCCACTATTTCCCTCCGTCTCGCTCGCCATGGCCCGGCGACGGCAGCTCGGGCAGAGAGGGTAGGCGGAGCGCCGCAGACGGCGGCGGTCCTGCCCAGCCTCTGCCCGGCTCCGCACTCCGGCCCCGGCCTGCGCCCTCAGGACATTGGGGCCGGAACCATGAGCTCCTACCTGGAGTATGTGTCGTGCAGCGGCGGCAGCGGGGTCGGCGGCGACGTGCTCAGTCTGGCACCCAAGTTCTGCCGCTCCGACATCCGGCCGGTGACTCTCCAGCCCGCCTTCTCCCTGGGCAGCGGCGACGGCGCCTTCGTCAGCTGTCTGCCCCTGGCCGCCGCCCGACCCACGCCTTCGCCCCCGGCCACGCCCGCGCGGCAGCTCGCACCGCCGCCGGCCGCACCCCAGTACGCGCCGTGCATCCTGGAGGGGGCCTCCGAGCCGGGCGCAGCACCTGCCGCGGCGGCGGGGGGCGCGGACTACGGCTTCCTCCGGCCCGGGCCCGCGTACGACTTCCCGGGCGTGCTGGGGCGGGCGGCCGACGACGGCGGGGCTCACGTCCACTACGCCACCTCGGCCGTCTTCTCGGGCGGCGGCTCCTTCCTCCTCAGCGGTCAGGTGGATTATGCGGCCTTTAGCGAGCCCGGCCCCTTCCCGGCGTGTCTCAAAGAGCCAGCCGATGGCCACCCCGGTGCCTTCCAGACCGCATCCCCGGCCCCAGGCGCCTACCCCAAGTCCGTCTCTCCCGCCTCCGGCCTCCCCGCCGCCTTCAGCACGTTCGAGTGGATGAAAGTGAAGAGGAACGCCCCTAAGAAAAGTAAGTCCACGGGCCTTGGATGGGGCCATCTGAGGTTGGGGACGCAGACTCCCCCCGGAATTGCGCTGGGAGCGCGGTGCCGCTGCCTCTCTAGACAGCGGTTGGGGTTTTGTGGAGGAGACGCGGTCCCGGGCGAGTTCCATTGAGCGTGCCTCGAGAACAGACTCGGAAAATGTGCCAGGCATTGAGAAAATTTCAGAAAGGAGCTCTCCGTGGAGTTTCTCCTGGCACAAACTGTGTTCCTAGGGACCCCGGAGGGCCACGCTGGGACTTCGATTCTAACTAGCTCCACTGCTAGCCCACATTCTGTCCCCGGCCTCTGGCCCCGCTGACGCCCTGTCTTTACGTTTCAGGCAAACTCGCCGAGTATGGGGCAGCTAGCCCCTCCAGCGCGATCCGCACGAATTTCAGCACCAAGCAACTGACAGAACTGGAAAAAGAGTTTCATTTCAATAAGTACTTAACTCGAGCCCGACGCATCGAGATAGCCAACTGCTTGCAGCTGAATGACACGCAAGTCAAAATCTGGTTCCAGAATCGCAGGATGAAACAGAAGAAAAGGGAACGAGAAGGGCTTCTGGCCACGGCCATTCCTGTGGCTCCGCTCCAACTTCCCTTCCCTGGAACAAGCCCCACCAAGTTTAGCAAGAGCCCGGGCAGCCCTTCTCAGTCCCAAGAGCCTTCGTGAGGCCGGGACTTGGGGCCAAGAAACCGTGGCCTGCAGAAGTCCCAGGCTACCCCCACCCCCGCCCTTATCTAGACTTAGGAGCTCAGTTTGGGAAGGAGGTGGGAGAACAGAAATGAGTAGGGATTTCACTTAGGAAATGAAGTACTTTAGTTGGCTTCTGGGTTCCAGACTATATATCCAGATATTAACTGGCTATCTCCTAAACCACTTGTTTGGTTCTGATTTGTGTCTTACCAGGGAAAAGGTGACCAGCTGCCAGTCCAGCTCTGGTGCTGTCTTTGCCTCAGTCATATGCAATTCTTGGTGCAGAGTGGCAAACCTTTAGTTGCTGAGTTCTGTCAGCCCTCTGATGTGCTCAGAAGAGCACCTGCCCAAAGCTGTTCTGGTTTTAATTGAAAGGACAAGGCTACATGTATTCAGCTTTTTGAGATGACCAAAGCTAGTTAGGGTTTCCTTGATATAGCTAAGCTGCTTCAATGATTTTCACATTTGCACTCCAGTTTTTTTTTTTTTTCCTTAAAAAGTGGTTTCTACCTCTCCATGTGCCTAAGTGAAGATACAATCTCTGTTTAGTTACTAGCTCAACAAATCCACAGAGTGGGTAAAGAGTAGAATCTGAACTGTATCTTGACATCAGTTATTCAAACTTGAATGTAAATATATACATTATGTATAGTTTTTAAAAGGTTTGCTTGCAACGACCTTACAAGTGACATTTAATGTCATAGCATGTAAAGGGTGTTTTTTTTTTGTAATAAAAATTATAGAATCTGCTGCTCTCTGCCTTCTTACACTCTTTCACCATGATTCACTTTCTTTAAAGTTGATTCCGTTTCCTGTACTTGAATTTACTTGACTCTGCTATGATAATTTATGTTGATAACTTTTTTTTTTTTTTCTTTGAGACGGGGTCTTGCTCTGTTACCCACGCTTGAGTGCAGTGGCACAATCTTGGCTCATCGCAACCTCTGCCTCCCGGGTTCCAGTGATTCTCCTGCCTCAGCCTCCTGAGTAGTTGGGATTACAGGTATGAGCCACCACGCCTGGCTAATTTTTCATATTTTTTTTAGCACAGACAGGATTTCACCATGTTGGCCAGGCTGTTCTTGAACTCCTGACCTCAGGTGATCTGCCCTCTTGGGCCTCCCAAAGTACTAGGATTGCAAGTGTGAGCCACCACACCTGGCTGATAACTTCTAAAAATAATATTTCTTACAGGTTATATACACACCCAGCAAGTTATGGACAATTATCTGAGTAGTTTAAGAGAGAAAACTACTCTGCCAAATGTCCATGTAACTATGGGAAATACTTTCCTTACCTACAGTGTCCTGGTTTTATGGTAGGTGTGTAGTCTGCACATTAACTCAAGTATTGGGTGTCTACTGTGGAATGTTGTAAAGAAAAGGAGACACTTAGGGAATATCTTATTCTTTTGTCTCCTGTCCTCACAAAAGGAAGAGGAAAAGTGACTTGAAGACTTTGTTTCTTGGTTAGTGTTCTCTGAGAAAGGCAGCTGCACATCAAAAAGTTCTCAATGGCTGAATTCCCATTTCCAAAGTCAAGAGTTACAAAGAAGGCTGGAAAAGGCTAGTAGTCACAAGCTTCTACTTCCTGTAACCCAGACTGAGCATCTGACTGAGACAAAGCACAGAAGGTGTCTTTCTGATTTCAAAAATGAAATATTTTCAAATAAATTATTTCAAAGAAGTACAAGCACCCAATTTGAAAGTGGACAAGAGAGTATGTGGTTAAAAAAAATCTCAAAACCTCTTCTCTGTTTCCACCCTAGCTCTCATTTCTCATTTCTGGAGGCATTCGTAGTTGACCAGGGTTTATGTAACCTTGCCGAAATATGAGAATAAAAAGATGCAATGTAAACACACAAAATCAAGTGGATACTTGGAATAATTTCTGGGAATAGATCATTTTCCTTATTTTATAGCTAGATCTTTAAGTTCTTTCTACAGTTCAACAGAAAGGCTTAAAGGCCCAAATAATTCAAATAAGAATCTCAGGTCTTTCAAGCTAGATTTCTAGATTCTAGTAGAATGTTTCAAATCTAATGATTCATAAATCTAAGCAACTGTGAAAGATTACCTTTCCTATAAAACAGCAATGTGATCAATGTGATTAGTCCTCTTAGAAAATTGAAGTTACACTCAAGTTCTCATTCTTTGCACCTATAGTTGAATGGAGTTCAAGAAATAAAATGATCAGCTCTAACCAACTCAGCTGATCAGACAGAGGAAAACGATATCACTTAAAAAGCCGGTCTGTCAATATTATTCTTATGTTTCCCCATCTGCCCTTCAATAACTTGATGCTAATTGAATCTTGTTTGAAACAACGGCCTCCCTCTGAGCTCTGCTGCTATTTGAAGGAACTTGTTAAAGGACTTGTGATCTGCTTGCTTACAGCCACCCCTGGGCTTCCCCTGCAGGGGTCTTTGACATGACAATGTTTCCTTTTTGATAAGCATTTAAATGTACACCTAAACAACAACAAAATACCAACGTGCTTGGTCATTTCCTTAATCTATCACCCTTTTCTCTGAGAAAATAAAGCTTTTCCTTCTGAAGCTAGTACTAGCACTTAGCCCTGATGGATGTCTTCCTTGATGAAGGTGGCTATTATGACATTCGTATAATGCTGTTCTATGAATCGGGCCAATATTAGCTATTTTTTGCCCAACCCCAGGGATCTTTAAAAGCTTTCTTAATGCAGATCACTGTACAGCTATATTCAGTATTAGGAAGAGTCCTCGCTGGAGATCGGGATGAACTAGGTGATCTCTGGAGGTCCCTCTCCCAGCAATGAAAATGCTACAATTCAGTGACTTCTGCATACTTTATTTTAGACTTATCATTTGAAGGGAGTTAGGTTCTAAGAGAAAGCAAATGTACTCTCTAGGATTACAGTGATACTGTGTTTATACAGGAAAAGAGGATTTTATACACTGTCAAATACATCTTGTCAGTGGAGATACCTAGGCAATGTGGACCATTTACAGAGCATTCCTTTCCCCATTATTCTGAGCCTTGTGTTATTTTGAGTCAAATCTCCATGAAGTATGAGGTTAGTACATAAACTGCAGCTATTCAATCCCATTTCTATTTTATAAGATTTCAAACTAAATATGCTAATTTACCCTCCAGCGATCTGTTGCAAGAATGCATACACAGTGGACAGTTCTGGCTGTTATATAACTATTCAGTGTTCCTTTGTCTTCACATAATGAGCATGTGTCTACTTTTCTGGATCAGGATAATTGGGAGTGAGGAAAAGGAAAACATTTAATAATAAATAAAATTCCCATAACTTGAGTACTAGCAAACAAGGGCTTTGCTGATATAAAAACCTAAAGCA